GTCCTTTACAGAATACCCGGAATACCATTAACATCAATTAGAAAGCTGCAGCTATTGATAAACATCGCTGCTCGTCTTGTCACTGGGACACCTAAATTCCATCACATCACCCCTACTCTTCGTCGTCTTCATTGGTTGCCAGTGAAACAGCATACTGAATTCAAAGTACTTTTATATGTTTACAAATCAATTCACAAGTTATCACCACAATACATTTCCGAATTAATTAAGGTTCGTTCTGCAACTTGCACTCGTTCCCTCCGGTCAACAACTGACTCAACCAATCTTTATTGTCCATCCTTTCGGTTAAAGTCTTGTGGGGAGCGATCGTTTATGGTTGCTGGGCCCAAGTTGTGGAACTTGTTACCTTTATTTAATCGTGAGTCACCTTCTGTCACCATTTTCAAAGAACGACTTAAGACCCACTTATTCTCGTCCCTTTAATTTATTTTTTTTTTCTATTTCCATGCCAGCTAGCTTTTATAGCTTTAACTAGGATAGGAGGCGCCCGAATCCGAGATGGCCGAGACTCAACAGGTGCTGACTGTAGTTCAATTAGATTGAACCCTATCCAGCGATGAGGGCGTTGTAACCTTGCACCCTGTGCGTTACTTTTTTCGGTTCTGGTAGAGGTAGAAATGAATCAAACGCGTAGACAACGTAGAATTAACATAAATGGTACATGCTTTATTCTTGCACGGTGTACATCCACTGTGTACGATATCACGTGTTACGATACGTTACGTCTACGACTACGACTACGACTACGACTACGCCTACGATTACGTCTACGTCTACGATTTAAAATCAGTTTCTTCTCCAGAACTTGTTGCATTGAATCCATGAACTGAACGGATACACTGTTTTGGTGACTATTCCAAAACAAGATAAGAAAGTCTGTTGCTAAGTGAGAATGGCAAACCTTGAATGCATAGTTGGAAGATAGAAGTTCACTGTCTGTAATCTAGAATTACAATCACCACAAACTTGTGGTCTGCATAGTGTATCTTGGTCTATGCTTTAACACAGGCCTATTCTACAAACAGGGGTAGTTAATACATATAGCAAAATCTGACTTAACAGGCGTATCCCCATACTTCGGTTTGGGTGCTGGCATGGTATTCAAATTTCACTTCTTTTTTATTTTGTGGTTTTGGTTTTGGTTTCCGTTCCATCTTTACACTTGCCTGATAGCGCTTAGAGACTTTTTGTATTTTGCGCTCTATAAATTAATAACCATTAACCATATCCTTGGTCTCTGGTTCAATTCTATCTGCTCTCCTTTTTTTTTCAGCTGAAGTAAAAAGATTCAATAGCACACTTCTGGATAAGAAGTTTAAGCCGTTGCTCCCGTCTAGAATATGGCCCACGTACACTCTTTCGAAAATAGTAGGGGATAGTCTTGAAATAAGTTTTTAAACTTTTGTGGCTTATACTTGGCAAAACCGAAAGGTCCACTGATTAATCTCAGATATGAAAGTATAATACATCAAGAATACCATGGAAGAGGAGCACAGCCGCTCTTTACCTTTTTCTTGATGCCTTGGTGACCAGGCAAAATACAGGGACATATATAATACATACTCCTCCAAGTATTGAAATGCATTCCATCGAGTTGAGATTTAGAATCCCAACACAATGATGTGCATTTCAATACTCGGAGGAGTATGTACAGTATAATACTTTTCATGATGTAATTCACACCAATTTAGACCGAATCGGCGACTACAGCTACTACTGGTCATGTGACATATAGTGGGTACTAAATGTAAGCATTCACATCGTAAACCACAGTGCGCTCACTGAACACAGTACATTGAGAGAGTTATGTTTTTTAAAGGCTTATATATTTTTTTAAATGGCAATTTATAATTACTTTGGCAATCTCCATGCATTTTATTTAGGCTCTGGAACGCTGCTTGTGTACGTTAGGCTACATACAGGTATAGGCCCAGGCTGCACTGTGAATGTTAAGCCTTGACCAGGGCCCACAGCAGGGAGGGAGTTGTTATGCCTCAACTACATATCTCTGTAGTCGAGTACGGTAGGTGATAAAGTAGGAAATAACCCTTAACGGTACTGATTGCTCAACCAAACTTGTGAAACAGGCTGGTGATGCCTGGTTGGTATGGTACATCCTAATGCCAGTACGTAATAACAATATGTCATATGATGATCTGTATGATTTAATTTAGGATTTAAAATAACTGTAAAATAATATTCTTGCAATGAATGGGGAGATTCGTTTTTTTTTTTCATCCTGCGAAAGCATTTGCCATGAATATTCTTGACTTAGGCCTAGGCCTAAAAAGTACCTCAGCCGGCGACAACTCCACTGGAGCAATATGCACGTCGTGAGGGTACCGTACATTTCCTTGAAAAACTGGCTTTATTCCCATTATCCATTGGAGCCTTACCAAACCAAACTGATAAGTGTTTGAAAATTTAATTTTGGAACACCTTTAAGTGATTTACCAAATTATAACTCACATTCCAACCAACATTTGCAACATCTATGATGTGACTTACGTCAACAACAAGGCGAAGCCATATTCAATGCACTGTCGTCTCACTATCTCGATAGATGTAAACAAACCCTAATACCGACTATAAGTCACATGACCCGAGCTGCTGATTCGGTCTATACAATCTCAATCAATGTTCTTTCTATGAATTTTACTATATAAGAGTGTCATATCTGGCAATCTAGACCTGTATAATTTCGCCAAATTTTACCATCCCAAACTGTGGTGGGGCTGAGATGGGTGTGGGGTGGGTTTTGAATTAGGTCAAGTAAATACATCAAAGACAATGTTTTAAGCTCTATTTTCTATGGTACATCACACATATTAATTAGATCAGTGTAGTTGCCGAAAATCGCTGATAAAAGATCATTAGAATTTTTTTTTTAATTTTTACGGTATAATGGTGATGTGATGATGATGAATTTTACTACACAAAAGTGTCATTTCTGGCCATCTACAAGTATTATTTACTCAAATGTTACCTCAGCCCCAATCATGGTGGACGTGGACTCACAAATTGCCCCCCCCCCACCCTTCCAAAACAGATCTGTGCCCTTGCATGCACCTCCTACCGCCAAATCCTGCATCCACCCCAGATCTGATCACATTATCAGACTAATAAAGATGGGTTGTTTATGGTAGTCGTAAAAATCATCCAGGTACAGTATTGCAGAATTTGAACCTGTGACCTTTGATTAGCAGGGAACCACCATGCCACAGCTACACTCATTTTCCACAAATTTTTAATCAACTTACCACTTAAAAAGCCAATGGAAAGCTGATGCTGATTAAGATTCTCAACATATTCTCCAAGATATGTGTTGAGTACCCATGCTGCTAGACCCTCTAACATCTTCACTGTTGAAAGTTATCTAAAAATTTCTGTTAATAAGGAAACAATAAAATAATAATAGTTCCATGGTTTGAAACTTTCAAATCTCTCGTTTGTATTTTGTATTGTTTGCAGGATAAACTTAAAAAAAGACACTTTCATCTTATGCTTACAGTTTTTACCAGATTGTAAAATACAGCTTGCGCAGGGAAATATACTAGAGCAATAAACAGGTCTACGATTCAGTCTGCATATTTTGCAGAAAATATGTCCTTGGTCTATCTCTCAGTACGATTCTGGTGCACCTATTTCCAGAGTAATTTTCTACGCACCGAAATTGAGTTGGTTTTCGGGGTACTTTTTATGTTATTGTTAGGCCTACTAGAGGTAGGGGGCTGGTAGGCCTAATATTTATTATATTATTATATTATTAATAATAAATATGGCCTTACTTAGAACTTGCTTCCGCTGATACAAAAAAAAAAATAGCTAAGCTAGGCCCGTGCCCAATCAAGCGGCCTTGCCTTGATATCACATTATCGACTGCCTATCTCCCCATCTATAATTCAAGCTAGGCCTAGGCCTAGGCTAGCCTGCTAGTTCTAATAATAATACTTACTATTAGGCCTAGTCGTAGTTAGCAAGGGCTAGTTGAATTTGTTTTCGCCATCCCAATATATTTCGAAGCCTAGGCATATATATGGAAACGCTAAAACCGTAAAATAATAGAAATAAGAAATAACGGATCCTATATTCAGAAGGGTAGGGTAGCTTTGGAAAACATACGTTTACGTACGTCGGTACGTGTGTGGCCAGCGACCTCTCTCTTTTCTAAAACACTTTAGTAGAATAGCAACTCACAATGAATATAAATTTGCGGTCCGAAACGATCGGTCTACAGTCGTTTTACTAAAGAGCTGATTACCCTCCCGGTTATTACACATACAGATACTGCTTTACTTGAAAACAACAACACTGTCGGAAATTTCGGTGATCTTTTGATTCTGAAAATCAATCAAGAAGGTATTTTTATTATTTTTTCTTATTTAACCAACTTTTTGATAAAGAGACGACGCGAAAGTGTTAAAATCTTGCCTTGCTAGGCCTACACTATCTAGGCTTATTATAGAATAGGCCTTGCTCGGTGATTATGCCATGGATGGGCAAGTTGTGCAATACTTTTGAGTCGATGTTCTGTAGTAGGTAGTCATCTACCCTACACACAGACATCATTCATAGCCTCCTCCAGATTATAGAAAGGCCCAGTCTAGCCTACTCTAGCTATTTAAGTAAACACCGAGGGCTGGAAAAAGTGCGCCACAGGCGGTCAGAGACATACCCCAGGGGCATTTTGGGGAAAAAAAAGTTTTAATTAAAAAAAAATAATAATTTAAATTAAAAAAACAAAAACAAAAACAAATGTTACACACCACCACTAAATGTACTACTCTTTGGCTATAATAAATAGTAGGTAACGTTTGTAGGCATTTTATTTGATCAAGATAATTTTCATGATCGGATGCACAAAATATTTTTTCCTGGCCTGTAATAGTGTATCGTCTAACATAGAGTTCATTTTTATTTATTTATTTATTTATTATATTATGATGTTTGAAATTTTTATAGAAAGTGTAATTTTTTAATCCGTAAATGAAATCTCAAATTGTGAAGAATTTGTATTTTTTTCATTTTAAAACAATTTTATATTTATAACAATTTTAATATATTTGTATTAATAATTTTTATATTAAATTTTTCATGTATTTTTGTAGTATAAGTTCTTAATCATCTTACATTATCATGTTAGAAATGTTTATAATGAGTGTAATTTTTTAATTCGTGAGATTATTTTTGTATGTCCCAGTTCAGTTTACTATACATCATTTTATTGTGTGATGACACTTTTATTGAACAAAAGATACCAAGATATGATAAATTTATAGAGCACAGGCTAAAAACAAGTCATAAACAACTTTTTTTAGAGTTTTGTTTCAAATGTTTCGATAGTATTAACTGATTTTAACTTTAATATTTGTTTCCAAACAATTAAAATTTCATCACGGAAAAGAAGAAGGATTTGATATTGGATCTATAAAGATGAAAGTCCAGGATTAGTGTTGTAATTGGAAGCAAGTTCCAACATTCAAAACTCTTTTTTTTTGCCCGAGGAAAAGCCGATTATTGAAATCAGACATAAAGTAGTGGGTGGGCTTTACCCGAGTGGGCCTATACAAAAAGTGTGGAATTAATGATGACATTACCATGGAGGAATTACTGTAGATTACCATGTGCAAATGGTTACGTATATATTCTGTACATACTCTACTCAAATTAATTTTATTGGAGTAGAACATTAATAGACTCTGTTGAGAATGTTGTTGTTTCCATTAGATTTCTTTACAGTCATTTCAGGGCATTTACAGTATTCTAAAATGAGACTCTAGAGTGGATATTTATTTGTAGGGGGAATTTATTCAAAGCAGGGTGTTTATTCGAATAAATAGGCCTACAGTATGTAAATTTTCTCTAGATTGATGAGAAAATGACACAGCAAAACAAAGGACACGGTAGAGGGAAGCAGACAAAAAGTCAGCGACGAGATGACCAAGAGAGGAAGCGAGATGGGCGGGCTATAAAGTCAGCCTATAGAAAACAGAAGAAAGACCAGTCATACTTAGCAGACGATGAAAACTTTGCAGGGTTTGCAACACAGCTGCAGACAATTGGTTTGCAACTACGCGATATTCCTGGAGATGGGTATGTAAAATTTTACTTATTTTCGTTCTTTATTTTATTTGTAAATAAATACATAAATATATTATAAATTAAAAAAATAAAATTTCAATTTTGAGAACACAATATGTGGTGCATTTTTTTTTAAATTTATTTTTGTTCTTTATTTTATTTATAAATATATACATAAACATAAATAAATAAAATAATTCATGATGAATTTTGTTTTTTTGGACTCCAGTAATTGTTTGTTTCGAGCTCTTGGTGATCAGCTTGAAGGCCATGGAAGAAACCATTTACGTCATAGAGACGACACAGTACAGTATATAATAGATCACAGGCAGCTGTTTGAACCATTTGTGGAAGATGATGTACCCTTTGATAGACATGGTATGTCCATACAATTTCATCTTAAAATTTATTCACACTGCTCATGTTCATAGTTTCATAGTTGGTGGTGGTGAATAATTATGTACACATATGTGGCACAGTTTTAATAGAATTATTGTCATTATAACCACTATTGGTAACACATTCTTCTGAATTGCATAAGCAATCGTAACATATTACAAAAGTTTAATAGAAGTTAATTATTTATTATTTATTTCAACTGCATTTAAAGTAGGTGACCCTTTCCAGCACAGCTGAAATGTAGGGGCCCACTTTGACAACTCAAAAACAATACATATAAATAGAAAATAAACAATATTTTTGTTAACGATTAATTATACCTGTAATAATAATTATAATAACTTGGCCACTATTATTATGAAAAAATTATATGGTAGATGGATTTTACATCAATCAACCATTTATTCCAGTGTGTAACCTGAGGAAGTCTGGGACGTATGCTGGTAATGATGCCATTGTAGCATTTGCTAGGTTGAAGGAGCTTACTGTGGTCATACATCAGCTAAATGCTCCAGTATTTAAAGTGAGTTATCATTGTATTCAGACACTGAAGAGAGCCCTACCATGGTTATAAATGCACTACGTATGCTTTGATTCAGAGCAAGTCATTAAGTTGATAAGTAGTTTAGTTTGAGTTTAGACACTTATGTATCAGTTCTACCCATTATAGCAACCCCTTTAGTAATATTGTTTTTTTTTTCTTTTATTGTTTTGTGTAAAAACAGTTTCCATAATATCCTTTTGATATTCATATTGAAATTAGGTCAGTGGAAATGACAAGCCAGGATCTCGTGAGCTGCATATTGCCTATCACAATGGCGACCATTATTCAAGTGTTCGAAAGCTATGTGATAACACTGGCGAAGCCACCAATTTCAAAACTGCATCGGTAATGTGTTGTCAAATGGAATTACAGTGCACCCACCAATTCGAGACCCCTCTAATTCCAAGACTCCTTTAATTCAAGACCACCTTTTGTAAGAACCAAATACGGTAATAAACGTCAATCTTATAAACACAGAGCTAACCCTCTAATTGAAGACAAGAACCCCGAGACCAACCATAATTTTTGGGTCCCAATGATGGTCTTGAATTGGGGAGCAAACTGTATTGTATATTTGTGAATCATTTATTCATTCATTCTTGCATTGATTGATTGATTGATTGATTGATTGATCAATCGGTCGGTCGATCCGATCGATCGATTCATTCATTCATTCATTCTTTCATTGATTCATTCATTCTTTCATTGATTGATTCATTCATTCATTCTTGAGTAGTGGCAATCCATTTTTACATACACATTCATAGACATTATGCCAGAGAAGGAATAAACAAAGTTCATGTTTGATACACAGAGCCAATACAGCCAATACATAAAAAAGACCAATAAATCAACATCCAATCCAGGGTCACAGCTATACCGTACTATTCTAAATACAAGTGTAGAATTAAATATACTTATTATCTACTTTAATTCAATTCATTTGTTTATATAGGCAGCATATAGTGGTAGTGCTGGTTGTCAATATTCAAAGAAAAAATCCAAAACAAAATCAGATGCATCAAGTGATGGTGCCTGTGGAGGACCTTCCGATCTATGCAATGGTGAAGTTGATGATGTTGAACTGAATATTATGCAAATTATAGAACTAACTGGTTGCCAGGTACTTTCTTATTTTTCTTTACAAATTTACCCTGGTACAAGCTAATCAGTTGTAACAGTGTATTTTTCTATAACATTAAAAGTCTATATATAACATATATAAGCATTACTATGTATTTCCAAAAGCATGTATGTTGATTGTTTTGGGTTTTTTTTCAGGATGTAAATTTAGTGAGAGAAAGTTTACAGGATCATTTCTATGATGTTCCAGCCACAGTAGACTTTATAATGGCTCTGTTAGCATCAACAGATCACCAGCAAGGTATTGTTGTTTTGAGGTTCTTTTTTAGTGGTATATATCTATGAGCATACACACACGTACCCCCTCCCCCACTGAAAGCTTGCAACAAAGTAATTACACTCAAGTATGTTTCTAGTGTGAGGAGGAGGGAATGTAGACTTTTGGGGAGTGTGCTTCCCCATACACCCCTACAGACACTCCAATGTCACCTAGAGCCCCTTCACTTTCCCAAATACCATCTCCCCATGCAAGTACTTCTAGATGTACCAGTAGGTTTTCCCAGTTTCATCGACACTTTGATCATTAGCCATAGTAAATTTAGTGATTTGTTCTTTAATGTTGTTCACATTTATTTTACTATTTAGTACTAATGACAAAATTGGGATGAAAGCAAAGGGAATACCACAGTAATGAAAGTAAAATGGGGTGTTAATGAAGGACAACTGCCTGGTAATAATGCAAAACTGGTTTTACAGTAACAATGTGTATCTTAGTAGTAGGCCAACAGAATTAATCGATGAACTGGCATATAATTCTTGTTTGTTAGATGATGCATCATTATCTAAAAGTGAAAGTGGTGGATTATGGGATGCTGATGGAACAGGATCAAGAATATTTGGGGATGCCAGTCCCAGTGACAGTAGTAAAAATAAACAAAACCCAAACAAAGGGAAAACACAAGGGAACACAGGAACTAAGGGCAGGAAGAATGAAGCAAGTACACTTTGTTTAACCATCTTATAGTATATATTCTCACGTATAAGACGAGACTTAAATTATGATGAAAAAAATAATGTGGGTTGTCTTATATGTGCCACACATACCGGTACAATTTTTTTTTTTATCATGTTAATCATATGTGCGGATCGTCTAGTACTGAAATGAAGCAACTAACTGCATGAATGAATGCAATTTTAAATGTGGGGAAGTAAGATTTTGATAAAACCCATAAAAATGGTATTATTTGGAAGATTAGCCCTACATTTGAATCAGATTTTAGCCAGCTAGATGCAGTATCAAGACTATAAAGAACACCAAAAAGTAGGAATTCCGACGGTGAAACAGGGGGTCGTCTTATGTCCAACATACAAAAATTGTCGAAAAAAATCTTCTCGAACTGTATGCGGGTCGCCTTATACGCAAGAATATACGGAAAGTGCCACTTACATATGAACTTAAAACAAATTGTACATTTCGATGGGTTATTGTTTTAAAAACTAAAACAAATCCTTGTCAATTAACAAATGCATAAAACATACCATTCCTACAGGATTTTTATATATCATTAAATTTCTACCAGTAAATGTAAGGATTTCCATAAAAATGTCTTTAAGTCATTAAAAAATTTTCACTATGACTTGATGAACATTGGTAATGTATGTGGTTATTTATATGAGCAATTCAGAATTTTGTTTCAAATTTCGAGGTTTATTCCTTAATCTTTTTGGGTGGCAGCACTATGTCTTTAAGATGATAATTGTCCGCATCATCATCACCATCATCATCATGGTCATTATCAGCAATAATTGGCATACTTGAGAGAGGTTTCAAATGTTTCAGTCCCATGCTTAATGCGCAAGACTCATACTTAATGTGCAAGACTTGGTAGGTCGTTTTTCATTGTCAACCCACTGGAAGGTTGAAGGCCTCTTGCTTTACTCCCAAGTCCAGATGTTTGGACCCTGCAGAGTATCCAGTAGAAGCATGGTGCCTTTTAAAAGCTAACTTACTCTAAGTTGTACTGTTTTTAACATAGCTTTCTATGTTTCTTTCATAGCTTCGTCTAACCAATGCCCAAAGGAAAAAACAAAACAGGATGGAAAAAAAGGAAAGGCAATCAGAGAGGCACAAGCAACGTCTACGAGGAGGAGCCAGTCAAGCCTCTCAGAATACAGACGATGATGATAATGCACTGGTAGTAGATGGCTTACAGTCACTTAGAATATAAACTGTGTGTGCAGTGGAGTATCTAGGAGGGGGACTACCTTGAGGATGAGGTGATTTCTAACTACTAGAATCATTTGTCATTTTATTACTCAGCAAATTTTAGTCAGAAATAAGGTGAACTTAGAGGAAAAGCATGCATTTCCCACACCCTCTCTGATATGCCACTGTTTGTGTACCTGCACACAATGCTTATTTTGATAGTTCTTGCCAATATACCAAAGACATTTAAAGCTACTTGTAAGGATTCTGGTCCCTGAAATCCAGTATCAGTAGAATGCCTAACCTGTCCAGGGATTTAAACTTTAACAGAATACCTGTACCAGGGGATCAAGCCCCATGCATGCCCATGTACCTAGTGTTTTGAAAATCATCATGAATAACAGTTGCTCAAATTAATATATTTATCTACTGTTGTCTATATGTATATATGTATACAAATATATGATTATAAATATATACTATATAATAAAATTTTATATGTAAATTTACACTACTGTACTGTATTTTTGTTGCAAAAGTTGTATACAGATCACCACATCACATTTATAAATTTCAATTTTAGTTTATTACAGTACATCTTGAAATCATTAAACATATATAGTTTTTATTGTAAAAACAAAACTTGGTTAATTTTAATAGTAATAAATGTCTACCTCTAATAGTACACTCCTTGACATAGATGATTGATTCTGGAAAATTTTCATTGGTTGGCATTTATTTAAACATAAACATCAATATATAATGGGAAAAATCAAAAGTGGTCACCAGGTCGGTCTTGTGTCTCAATTATTGGAGCAACCAAGTGGTAACAGTGGCGGCATCAGCCGGCAGTCAGGGAAGGAGGTTTGAATTTCTGTCATCTGATGCCAGAAGGTCACTGGAAAAAAAATATATCAATTTACCAATCAACACAAAGTTGTTATGACTGCCAATCACAATATTTGCACCATCCTAAACTATACAATCGCTCCCAATGAACTCCACCACGGATTTTATTGCAAGACCTTGACTAATGCTCTAGGTGACCCTCTTGTGCAAGCGCGGATCCAGTAGGGAGGCACGGGGGAATGTGCCCCCTCCCCCGTATTTGGCACTAAATTTCTAAATTTTAAAAATTTTAATAATGCATTTCAATGTCATGTGCCCCACACCCTGTCTCTTATACCCCCCCTCTCTTGAAAAACTCTGGATCTGCCTCTGCCTTGGTCTGGAACGCTTGTTGGACAACCAGTCTGCAAATTTCTGAAGCCACTACTGAGGGGTAGTCTGAGGGTCATGGGTTCAAATCCCAATGAAGACAATTAATATTCATATTATTAATCTAAAAACAAAAGAAACCAATTTTAATAATAAAATTAAGGTCAATAAATATCTTGTATCTCAAACATATGACTAATAATAATCTTTCATATGCTGGAATATCTAGCCAGTCTCTTCCTGCAAATGTATAACAACTACTTCATGAGGTTACAGACTTCTCAAGTTAGTGAAATGCATTTCAGTAATCAAGTTTTTGAATATCTGTAGTAAATACAAAATTTTCAAAGTACCTAATAATATGTCTTGAGTTTAAAATAAGGGTTGCTTAAATTACAGATACTGGGTAATGGCCGTTGTAGAATTTCAAACTAACGGGGCAGGATGAAGATTTACGGGCCACTTTTTCATAGTTTTCACAATACTTTATTTGTAATCTTACAATACGAGTTGTCTAGGGCTGATGGAAAAGTCATTTGTTTTCGATTTTAAGACCTACTGTATTTATTTATGGGTCTAGGCCTATGGTAAATCTGTAATTATGCAAAATTTCCATAGCAACTACGGAAGTTCCGTAGTAATTGAGAAATCTGAGGTTATGATTACATGTAGGACCAATTTATCTTTTCAACATTAATATCAAAATCCCACTTAATCACTTATATTCAGTTATTCAATCAAAATAAAAACAGGTTGGAAAGTAATATGTTTTCCAAGATATGAAAAATTATGGTAGAAATTGCATAAATATAAGGTAATACTCATAAACACCCAGACACACCCTAGCAGAGGATATATTGGACTTCACCACCTATTATAGTGATTTAGAGAATAAAACTTTGCCCAATTATGCCAGAATAATTTACTTGACTAATTTTTATTCCGAATTAAAGTGCATTGTAAGTTCTATTCTCTCCAGTTAATCTACAGTTCTCTTGCACAATGCTACTGCTTCTTTACATTTTTCCAACCAATAGCCTTAGAGTTTGTAACTATATTATTTGAATAATAAAATCTTCCGAATAATTTAAAACTGCTATTATTATTTGATGCCATGTTACTGGAGTTGATCGAAATACTAGGGTGGTAAATATAGGTGAGACTGTGTTGCCAGAATGTGTAGGTGAATACTGCACTTTGGCCAGTCACAGATAAGAGCACCGCCATACTAGATCAGCATCATGGCAGCAGGGCATTTCTTCAAGACTGAATGTGATTGGTTATTGAGCGGGCTCCATCAAGATGTGGTCGATGAGACTGCTGATGTTGTTTCTTCATTGTCATTGTCAACTGCCGTTTGTTTCAACTTCTTCTTTGCTCGGATCTCATTTAGTGTTTCTTCTACAGATCGCTTGTCTTTTTTATTTGCACTTGGAACTTGGACGTCAAATAGGATTGAGGAAAACAAAACAAAGGTTATTCAGTTAGCTAAAATTCTGAAATCCACATTTTGACAAAATTGAAATGCTAGTACTGTATTGCATTTTTGTTGATTACAATAGATTCATATGATGATAGTGGTGTTAATCATAATTACAATGATGATGATGGTGATAATTTCAATTTTTTTCAATGATGATTATATTGATACAATAATTTTGAAGATGATATGGTAGTGGTGGTAGTGATAATGTCCTTAACTTACATTGATAATGATAATGATAATAAATAGTGACTACAAAGGTGTTAGGTGTGACAAAATTACACAATTTTATCGTCAGTTTCGCTGTTGGGTTTCGCCGCTTCATCACCATCATCATCATCATCATCATCATTATCATCAATATTTATCTAGTACAGCAGAAGTAACAGCAAGCATCTAAACTCACCAAAACCAAATTGTTTGTTAGGTGTTAGATTGTGAGCAGCTTCTTTGGCACTCTCTTCACCAATCAGCTTCTTGTATTTATCTCTGTAATTTGAAGCTGGTACAAACTGTTCCTTCTTGGAGGAGCTGGACATTTCAGCTTCTTCAAGTGCCTTAATGAAATAAAATATCAGAACAAGTTTTCAATCATATTAACTGATAGTTTTCTATAACAATTTTTAAAATTAGAACACAGGGTTTTTTTTTTTACTTTTAATTTTACCAACCTTTAATCTTGCTTTTTCTTTAGCAATTTCCGGACTCCATTCTTCACCTCGTCTGTAAGCTTCTAACTCTTCATCTGAAGGCGCATATTCCTGAAGGACAAACACAACTGAGAAATGACTAATGGAAAATATACATGTTTGTGTAAAAAAAGGGGGGGGGTTATGATTAAGGTAATTGTAATAACATGAACAACTATAATACAGTAATATAAATTTAATAAACTTCCAATCCAATACAATCAACAATTTATTCATTCATTTAAGACTTTGCAACTTAATATATATATATATATATATATATATATATATATTTATATGTGTATATATATATATATCTATATATATATAATATATATATATATATATATTTCTGTTCTAATTCCTTTTTTAAAGCCTTACCTTCTTGAATAACATAACATATCTTTCATCATCCGTTAGACCAAATGAAAAAGATGTCAAACCCGCAACATCTGCAATATCGTGACTGGAAGGTTGGAATAATAAACAATATTAATCAATATAAAATTAATAATAAATAACACTAAATTTCTAGAGTAGAAAGCTTTTACCTTTGAAAGTTTACTTAGAACTATAATTATTTACAAAAATCAAACAATAATGCAATCACAGTAACGTGACATCTATAAACTCAGTCTAAAAACACAATCATTATAATCACTTTTAGCTATTAATATTATTATCTTTTCCTTCTTACACAATGCTTCGACTTATTTTCTCCATGTGTTCCAGTTTTAATCTTGTCTGTTTACTATCATTGATAAAAGTATTTATTTTTTCTTCAATTTTCTCTCTAAATGCATTTTTTCTTTTACGATCTTCTTCTTTCATCTTCTCAAATTTTGCTTTTCTTTCTGTAAATGAGAATGTGACATAAATATACTTTAATTGATGTAGAACATAAATCATCTCTTCATTAATGCTAATATCAGTGTCAATCAAACATACTAAATGAAGGGTGGGGGTGAGATAAATATTTAAAATATCAGCCTAGAGTAGAACCATAGATTTTATTACTATTATTAGTTCTATGCTAGAATGTGTACTATCTGGTAAACATAATTCCATTAAACAATTTACTAAAAAAAACTACAGTAAATCTCTTTTGAAGTAAATTTAGCCTGCATGTACATAAATTAATTAAGTTAGTTAGCGTACATTTTTTTTTTCTTTTTTTCTTTTTCTATCTTTTTAAGCATTGATCCTAGGTAGACCTAGGCCTACGCGAATATTTAAGTCTTAAATGTGATGAAATTCACTGTAAATTTGCAGGTTGCTAAATATTTCCGTTTCTACATAAAGTCAAAGAAGATGATCTGACAGTGTCTAGTAGGCCTCTACTAGGCCTAGGTCTGTATTACAAACAATATCAATAAAGTTTCTTGAATCTAGGATATGCAGCATTGTAGATCAAGAGCCCATTCGAATACTGTAAATAGTAGAAGGGCCTAGCCTTCACCCTATCTACCAAGAGAGGACGCCTGCCTGGGGCCGGCTTGTTAGGCCTACTGCTGGAATGAATCGGGAATATCCCATTCCCATTCTACGATCCAGGGTACGATGTTGTTATGTTAGGAATGGTGGAATCCTTTCCGTCGGCCTACCTTTAGCGAGCTTCTTTTCCTTTTCACCAACTGATGGTGGTTTTTCCATTGAATTTAAAATACTACCTAGAAGGTCAGCCATGGTGAAATGCAAACTTTGAGATAGTTAAAGCAGCAGATAGGGCCTACTGTATATTTATTTGATTTTTTAGGAAACTCTTGCATGGGATGACAGGAGAGAGCAACAGTATTACGATAGAGGGCGAGATATTCTCTTGTACTTTTCCGTATGGTCAGATCCTGGTTTCGAAACGGCACGAAACGCAAAGGAAACAACAGTTCAAACGCGTTGCGAAAAGCACGATTTTTGTGGGCTGGTAAGTAATTGTCGTTTATTTTTGAAACAATGGCAAGTGAAGAGCAAGTAGAGGAAGATGCTTCTGAATTGAAGTTCCCCAAAGGTTTGTACTGAAATATATGATCAATATTGTCTAAATACCATATTACTATTATACTTCCCGTTCAGTATAATAAAAGCCAGGCCTCTAGGCTAGGCTGGACGTTAGGCCTAGATAGTAGTAGTAGGGAGGGATGATAGGATGGAATGGGAGAGAGAATGGAAAGCAGACTACTACTGTAGGCCTAGACCTGACTAGGCCTAGTGATAATTTAACGGGTTTTTTTTTTCATTTTGTATGTTTTAACTTTTTAAATATAATTAGAATGTTTAATATATTTATTAAATATAAATAATAATTTAAGCTATCCTATGAATGAAGTGCAATTGTTAATTGAGATAAAATAGGAAGTGAATGTATTTACGTGACCGTAAACAAATCAGTGTATGTAAATGATATATTTACGTGAAATAAATAACACAACGCTCAGTCTTACTTTTTTAATTATCGTTCATGTGAATTTATCGATTCTGATTAAATGTACATTAATGTCAGTTCGACTTTCAGCACTCAAAATAACGTGGCCCAAACTGCGGTGCCCAAGCTCACCATGGCGCTGATTTAATTATAATTAAACGTAATTTAATTTGCTACCATTGTTTGTAGTTTAATCATTAAATAAATTATTAAATCATTGGTGAGTTTTCAAATAAAAGTGATATTTATGACTCGTGTCATTTTTGTTGAATGAACCAAGGAAATTGTTGTTGAATTGCCTTGGATTGAATGAGCACACTTGCCAACATACAGTACAACACTACTGTACTGTACCGTACTCGACCTATGCCAAAACATGGAGGTTCCCTGCACATTATTAGCTACATTTACACAAGCAGCCCACTTTTTGTTGAAAATACTGTTAAATTATTTTCAGAGTTTGAACAAGCAGAAACATTGTTGATTTCCGAAGTTCGAATGCTGCTGGAGCATCGGAAGACTCAGAATGAAAATCAGGAAGAGGAACAGGAGCTGAGTGAGGTTTTTATGAAAACATTACAGTACACAGAACGGTTCTCGCGTTTTAAAAATAGGGAAACCATTGCAGATGTAAGAAGGTACCGAATCACCAGTTGGTTTTAATTTAATTTACATTGTTTCTTTGATCTTTTAAAAATAACAATTACTGATATTAATGATTGTTTAAAATGAGTAGAATAGACCTTAGTGGCAATGTGTATTATTGTATTGTGAGATTATATTTTAGTTTTTAAGTTGTTTTTGATGATGTGAGTACTGTACTGTTATTCTCTGCATTTCATCATCATCATCAGCATCATCTTCTGGTACTGGGCATAATGTCTAGTAATAGAGTATACTGGCACAATGCTAAATGGTTTTAACATTTTTCTGACTGGTTAACCATCTTTACCATGTATAAAAGCCATTAGTTAGAGGCCTAGAAAGACTACCAACCTTCTCTTTTTGAAGATTAATTTTTCTTAAATTTGTCGTTTCAGTTTGATGAAGCAAAAACAACTGCATAAGTTTGAAGTAGCCTCATTGGCCAATCTCTGTCCAGATACTGCAGATGAAGCTAGAGCATTGGTTCCTAGGTAAGCTGGTAGCATCATTTTTCCTGGCAAAAATATTGGGGAGGTATATCAATGCATTTTCTGTTAGCATAATTTGTACTCGCATGAACTTACCCAGTTCATTCTATGAAATGTTATATTATGCCTTTCCCTAATCAGTTTCTTTTTAATTATTATTTTATTGAAATCAACACTAACCAAATATATAGTGGTGAATAATTAGTGAAAACATTTTTAATTCTTACAATTTGGCTGAGAGAGCCTCCTGAAATTGAAACTCCTCCAAGTGTTGTCCAATTTCTCTCTGATTTTTAAAAGAAACCATAGTTTTTTATGTTTAATTTTTAGCTTGGAGGGTCGATTTGATGACGAAGACTTACAAGAAATGATGGAAAACATTCAGACCAAAAGAAGCTTTCAGTATTGAGGAATTGATACACAGGCAACAGAGGGCAGCACACTAGAAGTCAAACCCACTATCAGCATTGTACAATCATGGACCTATTAGTATTAATAGGTCCATGGCATGGTGCAATCATGTGTGTTTTACTCATGATTGGAAATGAATCAGGAGATTGCAACAATGTATTGTGGAGATATTGTAGGATATTTTCTAAGTTGTAAATATAACCTATTTAAAAACAGGGTTATTACTTGTGTAGGCTAATTGGAGAGTATGATATGTTCCTGCTAAATGACAAAGAATTTCAGGATGTGGAAGATTTGCAGAACACAAGTGAAGCCAGCGTTTAAGATGCTTGCCCTCTAATTCCAAGTTCTTTTGTGGAAATTTTGTGAGAAAACAGGATTTTTCCTTCTAACAACAGAACTCTCTGTGTATCATAATATGACTGAAACTCTGTTCAGATTGAATTTTTTGTCTAAATAACAAGTACGGACGTCCTTGCATAACATTAAATTTATTCATATTTACCACAAAACCACATTTGGGACCTAAAATTTGGGATGGTCTCGGAGCTTAGTTCGCTTTGATTTTTTGTTGGTACAGTACTTTGAAAAATTGGTCTCGAATTAGAGAAATATCAGAACTGAAGTGATTTCGAGTATGAATTGTACAATTTTACCAAAGTAGAGTTATCCTTTGTTTTAGTCTAAGTTAATCCAGTGCAAACACATTTTTAGTTTGTGAAGTAACAATTCACCCTGTAACCTTGTGAGTGTCTTCTTGCTGTTAACATTCTTTTTTTTTTATGAAACAACAAATAAATGATAATTTTGTTTTCAAAATAAGTTTCTGTTTAATTTCTAAAATTCATTTCCAAGCTCCATATTGATCAAAACTATGTAATATAATAAATTTTGAAATCAGCAAAAATTACACATAATTAAAATATACCAAATGTTTCAAATATATTTTTAGTGTTTATATAGTATTATAATATAAGAGTAAGTATTGATTAGATATTAAATTTGTGACAAATATAGTTCAAAAGGGATTAAAAATGACTTCATAATTATTGCAAGGCTAACAAAAAACAAAGACAAACAAAACAAACAAGGACTTCGTAACAGCCAAAAGCCACCGACCTAAACAAAATAAAAAGTGTTTATCAGCAGTTTGAGTAAGTACACAACGTATACGTATACTTGATCATAAAAAGTTGACAGCATTCTGATCGTGGTCTTTGAGGTCAAAGATCGAAGGGTCAAGGCTTGTTGGAATCTGTGTAAGCTGACGTCTTCCCATGCGTAGAACTCAACGGCAACAATTGGCTGTAGCTGGATAAAACCATTTTGTGAGAATCTTCCTTGGATGTTCCCGACGTCTAACCACATAAACGGTGCAATTGATGAGCTCTCAATCTCAATCATAAAGGTGCCAGCTTCCTGGGTTATTTTCTTGATCTTAAAAAAAATAACAATTGTACTTAAAAAAACTGACATTACAAAAAAAAAAGTCTTGAATTAGGGTACAGTGCTTTCCCCTATTTGTTGCTTTTTGTAATAAATCTCAATATAAATTGCAAGTTAATACGGTAAAAAATTGAAATCCATACCAAAACACAACTGTCCCAAATTCTTGAAAATCTAGGGTTGGTAGAGTATATGTAGTCAATAAAAATAAAAGGATATTTTTTAACTAAGCTGAGGAAGAGTCCAGGATACTTGTATGATGTTTTCAAACTTCAATCAATAAATTTGATAACATAACCAATAATTTTACCACTGCACTTAAACTATATTGCCAACCAAAATGCATAATTGTCAAATAGCTCAAAGCTGATACTGATTTCCAAATGTAACAGTATTTGGAAAAAACAACACATTTTTTTGCAAAACTATGTACAGAAATGCTATTTTTTCATCAAATAAAACATCATTCAGTGGTTTAAACAGACCTGTAAATGTGGGTCTTGAACTAGGCCCTCAGCATCAAAGAAGGAGGAGATAAAGAGAGGGTTGGCTGAAGCCGTAGAGTTCTCCATCATGACCTCAAATGTGAAGAAGCAGGCATTCCATGATTTACATCCACCCTTGGCTAGTATGTTGCCACCGTCGACAGACAGAACTAACGCAGATGATTGTGCTTCCTGCAAATAATGTTAAGTGAAAGTACGCAATGGCATTCTCAAGCATTTTAAGATATGTACTGTATAAGAAACATATGCGTGGTGCGGGATGCGTGGTGCGGGATGCTTTGCCCCCTAAAAACTTTGGAGTTGAAACCATTTTAATATGTATCAAGGATTTCACACTTGGGTTTAGGTAACCGATACCTTGGCTCCTGCCGGGGTAGGGGATTTATAAATATCACTGTCGGGTGGATCCAGAGATGTCGGAAAGGGGCCAAAAGTGGGGTCAATCGAGATAACACCACCCTAGGGGTCGGGGAGCATCCCCCACAAAATGTTTGTTTTCTAGATGCCCGAAAACAACCTCTAAGGCGTTTTGTGCTATCAATTTTTTATTTTTCTTTCTTTTTTTCTTTTTTTTAACTTTCCTATTTTTTCAAATTTCCTAAATCTGCCCCTGACTGCTTGTGGGCAATACATTTTTTTTTTTGCCTAATCATATCTATCACAAACATACAATACTATGTTTATTAAAAATATAAATATATTGTAATTAAATGGTTACTTACAAGATCAAATGTAATGTTCTGTGTAAGGCGTGGCGTGAAATTGTCCCAAGACCAGATCTTAACTATAAGCATAGCATTCACAAGGGGAGTGACCAGGTCTGAAATGACGTAGACACTCAACTGACCATCAACCACAAAGCCAGAAGCCAGCACCTGCTCAAAGAAATCTTTTGCAAAGTAGTGAAGCATCTTCCACTTTCCACCATACTCTTAAAATTAAAGAAAAAAATTATCTGGCGAGAACAAATTATAGCACCAACTAGTTTCAATTCTGGGTCTCCCTGTATTTTTTTTTTTTTTTTTCAAACATTATGAACATGACAAATCTTACCAGTAGATGCCCATGTTGGTGCCTGCCAGATGTCATTCAATTGCCAATAGAGGGCGCCTCTTGTCAAGCCTTTATTATTTTTGTCAAGATCACTTTGATGTCTTCTGTAATGCTCTGTCTCTATCTTTATACACATTGCTTGTGATATCTACATTTCATTAAAAAAAAAAACTCAATTCAATAACTTTCTCATTTGGAAAGTTCAAGTTTTGACTTTTTACGCATAATCTGTGTCATTAACTAAACACGTAAAAGGCTTCCAAAGAAAAAATAATTTTGTAAAGCTTTATGGCTATGTTTACAGATGGTATATAAAAGAAAATCCATATAAAACTGTCAATTCTGTCAATTGAGGGCAAGCAGCTTTTAAATAACTGATCGGCTTTGTGAAACTACAACACCTTGAAATTCTGACATGTTTGTTATATAAACTGTTTGTTATTTTCAAAAACAAATTAAAAAATAACAAAACTGTCTTGACTATTAAGACAGGAAAGTTTAACAGCCCATATGAATTCCCATTGAAAAATATTTTTAAAAGTTGAAAAATTAATTTGAATACAGCGCAGCCCTTCCCATTAACCTCATTTTCACTGTGCTGAATTCATTTACATTATTAAAAATTTTGGTTGACAAACTTTTACATACCTGTGTTAAATATATCATGTTCTTGTAGTCTGTTACAGAATCAATGGGTTGTGGAATTGTAAAGTGTTTCTTTATCATTGAAAGCATCTGTGAATTCCCTAATTGATAAATAAAATGATAATCATTAATGAGCTACAATATTTTGTTCTATTTAGTAAAGTGACATAAGGTACAGAATCACTTTTGTTGGTCTTATTAAGTTTAATAAAATGATCTTCCTTTGCTATAAATTGTAAACATCCTGAGGTATTCGTCATCTCATTGGTTGTGAGCAGCGCTGTCACACTCTCTCCTTTTAAAACAGCCCCACGTGCCCACAAGCCCCGCCCACCGAATCTCATCTGCTTTGTTTTTTTGTGACCAGTCGCGCGTACGACTCGGTTGTCTCTCACGCTGTCAGAAAATGGACACAATGGAGAGAACAATAGTGATGGAGAGAAAAAAAAGAGGTAGACCAAAAGGATCAATAATGACGGGAATATCAGAGAGTGAGAAAAAAACAAATAGATTGAACAGGGAGAGGTTAAGAGGCAAGTCCCGCATATATATTGGAGCTGAACTGAAAAGATGGGAGGCAGTCAAGGAGGCAACGGGCATACACACAAACAGTGGAATAGCTAAACTTCTGCTTGACAGGTATTATGATGATCGAAGGAAGGCGCTTTCGCGGTGTTTGGGCCGCCGGGTATCATTTCATGTGCTGCCAGTTGGGCCTAGGCCTAGCCTTGGACTGAGGCCTATAATACTAAATGACAAATAGGCCTAGGCCTAGTACATGTAGGCTTGCCCCTTAGGCAAGTTGAATAATATTTTAGTATATATGAATAATTATTAATTGTGTGGCCTAGCTTGGCTAAGAAAATCAATTAACAATTTGATTTTGTTAGCCAAGCTTGGCCACACAATTAATAATTATATATGAATAATTATTAATTGTGTGGCCTAGCTTGGCATACAAAATCAAATTGTTAATTGATTAATCGTTAATTTAAATAATAAGTAAGATTTTTTTTAGGATAACCTCTCCGGAGCAAGATTTATAAGTAATAGGCCATATATCTTGGCCTAGGCCTAGCTTATTCAGTCAGTATTTGTTTTTTGCAAATAATCACTAATTAATTGATGAATATATAGCCTACCAATTGTGACAGGCCTATTAAACTTCTTTTGAAATCCACAATTAAATTTATCAAATTCTAAACTACTCCAGCCAAACTTCTACACACAAAAAAAGGGCCAGGCCTGCCAGAATGTGTGGCTTATGCCAGATAAAGAACCTAAAACAACATAAACTTCTTTTTCACTCTTAGTCTTAAATTTACAGCTATGAAGCTTTCCAGGCATATATAATGAACCATAAGGATGCAGAACATACAAAATTATCACATTCACAGAGCTCAACCACACCTGGTCCAAATAGAGCAACACCTGTTCAGGTGTCAAGTGCAAGCACAGAACCATCCCCCTCTAATGTTTCCCCAGCAAAGTCATGTGATAGGTGGGTAGTTTTTATGAATGTTTTTGAATATATAAATTACTAATAGTTGTATTTAAATACAGTATGAAAATTATTTATATTTATATTATTATTGTTGGTATTTGAATGTGTTTGTACTATTATTAACTATAAAGAAATTATTATTATTTTAAATTATAAATAAATGAGAAACATACCTTTACCTCGATATATTAACCTGATGATTATCATAAGATTTAGGATACCAGTGCATTGAGAGGAAATTCTGTTATATTTTACCAACATCGCATTACTGTATTCTAATGTTTGTATTAATATGCACAGCATAAATCTGCTACATAAAATCAGGTTTTACCTTTCTGGCATTGCCTCTCTAGACTCTATAAAAAATATTATTAATTTATCACCCTATCCAGGCTTGGAAAAGTGATGAGGGAGGGAGGTTTTTTTTTTATTATTTGTTATTTTGCTAAAGCCAAGTATCACCCTTGGGTTGTTTGCTCGTGCATTGATATTCAAAGTAAAACATGACTGAGGTAATACAAACAATATCTACTAACTATTTAATAAAAAAAAGGGAAAACATTTTTTTCCAATACCATAGAAGACATGTGCACGAGGGTGATAAACTAATATTTTTTTTTTTTTATTGGGCCTTATCTCTTATCACTTAGTACTTTTTCTGTGTCAGTGTGTTTACCAATACATTATTTTAAATGTTAAACTTAAAGGCCTCATGATTGTAAAATAAATAATAATAATAATAACAATGTATAATAATCAGTTTATTTATAGTGTGAATTACAATTAAGTCTACAAATATTTTAACATTAATTATATTTTCTTTTAGTGACTGGCATGTATCAGGAATTGCCCATTTGAGATATATGCCAAAATCTATTGCAGCTACTTTCATGCATACTGCAGGCACAACTAGGAGGGCGCTAGATAAACAAACAGATGTTGAAGAGAATTCAGGGAAAGATGGATCTTCTGGGCTCCAGATTCCCTTACAGTATGTATATGAATTACTCTACTCCTACACCTTATAACAAGACTTGATTTATACAGCACCAGATAGTTCAATCCTGTATTATGTAATTCATGATTGACAGGTCATTTTTCAGGGTGCTTTTGCTCAGGTTGAGGGGCCTGAAGTTCTAAATAAGTAGGCCTACCTATGATCAAAGGGGAAGGGTTGAGAATGTTGCCTTCTGGTGGTCCCAACAGAGCTTCAGTAATTTGAATCTCTTATCTGAATTATTTCATACATTTTTTGGATTTTTTGAAGGGTACAAGAAGGTGAAGTCCACTTTGGCCCCTGCCCATATTTGCCATAAGCCAAGAACTTTTTTTTCTTTTTTTAGAATTGGTGTTGAAAATACAAGCTTAGATGTTGAGGGTGAACATGAAGAGCAGGAACATGAAGAGCATTGCATTCAACCCAACTTTGATATGGGTTTTGGGTAAACAAAAAATAGATTTTTTTTCTATGAAAATACTTCAATTAAAGAATTGTATACTGTATTTATAATATTAAATATATAAAATTAAATGGATTTATAAAATGAATTGAATAAATAGTAATAATGGTGATAGAAATGTTGAAATAAATATTAAAATGAATCTAGCATACATTTACAAACAGAATGAATAATATGTACATTCCACACTTACTGTACGTTGTGATAGGCTGGACTACTTGTATATGCATTGATCTTTGACATTTATGTGTATTTGAAACTGTATTTAACAATGAGAACAAGGCTGGCTTGACTTTGGTGTGTTTATAGAAAATAATAAGGAATTATGGGCCTACTCAGGCTAATACTTTTGTTTCCTTATTCCAGAGTCACTGAAGCGGCATGCCCATCAGAAATTACATTTGAAGAACTGGAATTTGGCATTGAGCCGGATATCCCAACAATAGAAGGGTCAGGAATTAATGATGGGGTAACTAGAATCAATGACGTAGGGGACATTGACCGGCTGACCAAGGACGAGGTCTGCTTTGCTTACCTCCATCCATTACTTTTACTAGCAAAATTGAATATTCCCGATGTATGCTACAAAGAAAAGGACTGTCTGAAACCAGTTATCATCCATCAACGATTCATTGGGTCTGCATTATATTTTGAATGGGTAAACGATCTCTTTTGTCGTTTGCAATAAATTTTTAAATAAATTATCTAATATTAATAATAATTTAAAGACTTGCTTTATGAGGCATACCAGGTTCTGTAGAACAACTGGAAAGCTTGAATAACTTATTGAATGTCTAATAGGTATATATAAAATAAAAAATATAAAAAAGAATTAAAAAAAACAACTTAATAGTAACATAATCCTTTAAGTACTTGGTATTAACATTATTTATTTTTACTTTATTTAGTTTATTTCATTTCACCCCCAACAGCAAAAACTCCAATAACAGGGAGCATATAGTAAATACAATATAAAATCACAGCCATAAAATCTATAAAATCACAAAGGAACATTAAAAAATGATGTGGTAACTAGAATCAATGACAATCGATTTATTTTTTATAATCATTAAATGCAATGTTATTCTGAATCTGACTTGGAATTTAAAAATACATTCCAATCAATCAATCAATCAATAAACAAATTTGTAAAATACACATAAACCTAAAATAGCAAAAAAGAAAACAAAAAAAAAACAAAAAACAAACCAACCAAAAAATGTACACAACACCAACAGGGAGATTCTAACAAACCTTTCTTACAAGTAGTAGTCATAAATTCTATGATTGTGGTTTTTGTTGTTTACAGTATATACAATTACAACTCTCTTAATGTTTTTTGTAGGTTTGTGCTAATAATCACTTCATATATAAATGGTGTAGTCAGCCTTTGCTGGACAAAGGCCTACACGGAGGTGACCTCATGTGTGCTTCCGCCATCCTGGCATCAGACAACAACTTTGCCAAGATAGCTTTATTCGGACAGTTTCTGAATCTGCACTTGCCAAGCAGGTCGGCTTACCATCGGATGCAAACAGCATACATTGTGCCAACGATCGAAAGATTTTGGGATTGTAACCAGGATCAGGTGTTTGCAGACTTAGATGCTCAAGAATTTAACCTTAGTGGTGCTTTGTCACCAGATGACAAAAATGAAAGTGCAATGTAGGTTTAAAATACAAAATTACTAAAGCTACTAAATAATTTACCAATACTGTACTAATATATCACTCTATGTACCAGGGGAAGATTCAAATTTGGAGAGATGATTTAACCATGATGTGATATTAAATTGTGACCACAATATGGGTACCAACTGTGTTATAAGGCAAAAAAAAATCCAATCTTTTTCAACTGACTATTTTTACTTTTTTGGGGACACCCAGAAAACCATTTATGCTAGACGTGCCACAAGTCCCATTTTTTCTCTCATTTTGGACAGCACCACCAATGAGCGAGTTAATTAGGAATTTAGAGACAGTATAAGCTAAATAAAATGATAAAACCGAAATGGATTATGGGATGCCAATTAAATTAGGAGTGGCGGACACTGAGTGCAATAAAAGAATTATATTCACAGAGTAACCAAAATTTCAACCCAGGCGATGGTGGGGCCTAGAGTTTGCACCACTCGACAGGTCAAAAAAGTACTATTTTTCAGGGGAGTAGAACATTCTATTGCCCACTTCTTAACCAATGAGATGTCTAGAATCTATGTATGAAGTATATAATAGTAGATGGAGCCGTGTTAGTGTGGTAGACGTATGAAATAAAAACACTGGCCGTAGCACTTTATCAGGTTCAGAGATTAGGCGAAATATATGTTTTGAAACAACTGTCCATGCACTATATAAACCTGAAATATTAGACATCCTGTTATGCTGCTGGATGTAGTTGATGTAAAAAAAACAAGATAGTTTATTATTATTACAGTACATACAATCTGAAACTGGATTGACTCTTTGCAGGGAAAACCAAGGTTTGAACAAGAAGATCAAAAGATCGTCAGCGGTAGCCATGAAAGTAAAGAAAGACCACAAACATGTTCCAGAAATCATGAACTTAATTGTGAGATCGAGGCTGGAAGACCCGGCGCGCCTCTGTAGGAACGTTGTATATACGTCAAATGATCTACGCTGCATGTCGTCTGGGTCTGCCCCGGTTCCCCCACCCCCCTCACAGGCTCTGGTAGGAGATCAATTTTCACGTATGAAATAAAAGGTATATTTTTGTACTGTTTCTAACCTATAAATTTATTTGAATGACATAAAATGACACTAGACATAAATAAGAAAGCTCAAAATAGTGTTATTTATTATGTATTTGTTTATAAATACAGTATACTTAATTATTCTTATGAACCATGTTTCAGACTTTCAGCTACCATATTTCAGAGATTTCATCAGCAGTTACATTATTATAATTACTTTCCACGATGCCTCGTAATAGTAACTACTGTATATGATGGTGATGATGTATATGAGGATCATGTTAAAGATGATATGACTTTATAAATATATATAATTTGGTAATTCAAATAATACTACATAAATCCTTTTATCCGTGTGTACAGTTTGTATATATGTACACTATGTATGTATGTAAGACCATGGTGATACTTTTTATTAGTAACACCCATACCCATGGATGGAGTAAAATCATAGATTGTACAAGAAGTTAAACATTTTTGGTAGATTCTGTGGGAGATACTTTTCTAGTAAATTTTGAATATCGAATACAATTTTCAATGGCAATAAACACTGTAAATGTTTGAAACATTTCATTGATATAGGTGATAAATATTTGACGATTGTGATGATGATTTATTTAGATTATTTAGTGTATGGTGATTTGGATGGTGCTTATTTTGATGATGTGGAGGATATTATTGTACTAAATATTTATATTATCTTTTAAGAAAGCAATAGGCTGGTTAATGTATTCAATTTACATACTGTATGCTACACAATATTGTTCAGTTCTAAAGTGAGAGTATTAAAGATATTATTCTGTATCTCCCCCCCCCCCCTATTTTAAAATTGGAAAAACCCTTGACTAGACTTACTTGCCATAAATATAAACATAAGTGTAATATAAATTTTAAACAATTGAAAGTTTGTCTGCATGCTTCCCAGCCAGATAGGTACTACACAAATGAAGGCACTTCATAATATTGTTAGAGGGTGCTAAATTCTAATTCGCCAACTTAGATCTAGTCTGTAAGACTGTAACAAAAGAGTGTACCTCCTAGCTGTAACTGTGAAAGTAAAAATTGTAAAATTATTTTAATAGGTTACTGTAATTATTATTAATATATAATACATAGATATCTGTATTTAACATTAATAAGCCTGCTTTGAAATGACAACGGGTGGTCAGGTCAAAATATTGTACTACAGGGATTTGGTGCAGAACAATTTGACTGCTACTAAAAAATTGTATGTTGTAAGATACTGCTACATTGAATCTAAGATTATCAAAATAAACATTCTAGTAAGAATGCTTACAAAATAATTGCCTAATTATGTTATACTGATACACATCAACACTGTGACCAACAGACTTCCTTTTTTGCATGCCGGAAGGTACCAGCTCACTTCCTGGAGCACATACCATGTTAAAACTACATTACTAGGGATGAACTTGCAAGATGGTATGCACTCTACACGCCATCACATTGGAGGTGGGGGGGGTGGGGGGAGAAGCAGCTAGCTTAGTCTGCTAAACTGGTGGCAGCCACCGTGTGCACACTGAAACACTGACATTTGTATAACCTTGGTCTGCTGCTCTTTTGTTTCAGTTGGAGGGTTGAAATGAAAATGGAAGAGATGTTTAAACCATTTATCCTGTGTGTAATGTGGCCTATGTGCATGTTAAAGAATGCAGTAAATCTTTCAAAAAGAGTGGGAAATGGTGTCTTGGTGTAGGCCCCTTCCCTACTGCCAAATTCACCGTCAGATGCATGTCACTAAAAATATATCTTCAGACATTCATGGATTATATTTGGTGTATTTTACACTGAAGAAATACAATTCAATGCAATCTAATCCAAGGACATTTTACATCGTTCTTAAATTATCTCAGGCACATTCTTTTTGGGAAGATGATAGCATGCTGCATGCAACAAACTGGTTCAGAGGATCATAGGTAGTGTTTGATGATCAGGATCATAGGTAGTGGTTGATAATCAGGATCGTGGAAGATGAATGAATGATTGTGATGATAGCTTTAGCATACCGAGAGAATGCTTGCTCCTAATAACAAGATTTTCACTTGGTCAGTGCGCTATTTGTGTGCCTTACTTGGATCCTTGGTACCATTTTTAAAACATACTATCTTGCAAATTACTTTGTGTGGCTTACCTTGGGTTATTAAGTAAACTATTAAGACTTGCATCTGTTCATTACACTGTGTGGCTTGGTGTGGGTCCTTACTGTAGGTCTGCACATGCTCAATGCATTGTTCATATGGCTTTGTTTACAATGGCTTATATAATAATTTGGGTCATGAAATGTTGAGGTTCCTTTAAAACACTCTTAACAAATGATTTTGGTTGGATAAAAATGGCAAAAAATAAGAAAACTAAATTTTACCTTTGGGATGATGTTGTCTATGGAGGCTGAAATTACTGTTAAATTCCCAATCGGAAGACTCAGAAATGTTTGCCATTGCTGAAAATGATGGTAGTGATTGGTAACCATATTCACTTGCGAACCGGGGCTTCTCATAAATACTCACATTCCAACAGTCTTCAGAATAGTTGTAGTAATGAACTGAAAAAAATGTAGTTAAGGGGGTTTTTTGTAAGGGGCGGTGGGATCGTTGTATACAGTAAATGATGCTTATTTTATAACCAAGCTTAATTTTCTTGCTGGTGGTTCTCTTTGGGCTGTTTTGATTAATATGAAATAACGCTTAACGGCATACTGTAGGTCCCTGTATAACAAACTCACCACCACTATACAAACGGTCTTTGGGGCCACTCACCATCACCATATAAAGGGTCTGCAGGATTCTTAGCCACCCACCCTTCTTGCTCCGTCTTCACCCCATTTGATGGGCTTGAGCTCAAGATTGGTACATGGTTGTACTGTTGCAAATATCGCAGCCTCACGGTTGTTATATACAGCTTCACATAGTCTGCCTTGTAGAGGCTAAAATTTGAATCTGTGCCATACCTGTGAACATAATAATATACAAATACTGTTGAACTTGCCCAAGTTGCATCCAAAATTGAATTAGAGATCGTTTATTAATGGAAAACACAACAATTTGGCATATAAAATAAGATCGACTTTAAGGCAAGTTTAACTGTGTTATATATTTATCGATATGATGTTAGGTGACTTGAAACATCTACTAACATAATTTATATTGACAACTCATTGGCTCTGGTAATAATGGGAAAATAAATTATGTTGTGTTCCAAGGAGTCACCATGCACCATTCATGTTATTCATGTTTAATTGTGTTCTGAACTATGTGAAGTATATCATATAATACATGGTCAATTTTTAAACAGTTTTTGTAAAACTGCTAGATGAGTATTTATGTTAATAAATCCTGTTGCATAAAACTGAATCAGATTGATATAAGAATGTTAACGTCATCTTTAGCCCATCACACACGCTAGCATATATTAGCCTCAGTTTTAGTCGCAGCACACACTGATTTCAACGCTATGTTCGATCTAGCACATACCAATTTTGACATTATTTTAGTCCCAGCACACACTGATTTCAACACTATGTAGATCTAGCACATACCAATTTTGACATTATTTTAGTCCCAGCACACACTGATTTCAACGCTATGTTAGATCTAGCACATACCAATTTTGTCTAAGAGCACCTTCATTCTCATTGTTAGCTCCCCAAGCCACCACAGAAGGATGGTTGCTTAGTCTCCTCACCTATGAGTTAACAGAAGATATTAAATACAAGAAATATTTTGCTTATAACGTATTTAAAATTAATGGTCTATTCAGTGAAGCTTATAATTTGTAACCCTTGATGTTAACTAAGTGTCTTTATAGGAATTGGAGTTATTTTTATAGTTGGAAACATTTCTGAGTGAACTCTTGACCTTGACAAGCACCCTTCTTGCCAAACCATGGCTCCAAACTTTTTTAAGATTACCAAAATGTTACATATGGTGTCCAAAAGGAAGGGCTGTACTGTATTTATGTATGAATTATGTTTACACAAAAATTTGTTTGCCAATATTTACCATTCATACCTGGTATTCAACCTCTTTGTCAACCGTGGACAAGAACTCATCTCCTGTAGGGTACATAGCACATGCAAACATCATATCCTGCCAGATCAAAATACCCTTCTCATCAGCCAGTTGGTAGAATTCGTCCTTCTCATAAATCCCTCCTCCCCAGACGCGGAGAGTGTTCATGTTAGCATCGACAGCTGACTGGAAGAGGTTCTCTAGCCTTTCCATTGTCACTCGCTCCTGGAAGGCATCCACTGGTATCCAGTTGGCACCCTTCATAAATATGTATTGACCATTGATTCGAAAGTAAAAAGTGTTCCCTGCGAAAAATGTATAATAATAATAATTAATATCAGATCAGCGCGATGCTGCTGTCAGTAGACTAGAATTGTGCATAGCCAAAGTTCAATCTTGGTGTCAGTCCAACAACCTTATAATGAATGATGCAAAAACTGAACTCATTCATTTTTCATCATGTTTT